TATATATATCTTTAATTTAATTATATTTAAGTAATATAATTTATTTTACAAACAAAAATTATAGACAAATTTTTATAACAAATACTAATTTATAATCTGATAAGAAAAGATAACTAACTTATACCATTTGGTTAAATTACGGAATAATGTAAAAAAATCTTTAAGTAACTTAAATCCTATAGTTGGTTTAGCATGGGTGGGAATAATATATGCTAGAAACAGGGACGAAGTTAGAAGTTCGGAACCCAATAACTTTTATTTAATCAATATATTTATATTAAAAAATTTATTAAATATATACAAATATTAAATTTAGAACTCAATAGCTTTTAAACTGGTTCAATAAAATTAAAATAGTGGCCTCTCGACAGAAAGAGTAAGAGAAATATAAAAATAAGCAGCAGTCTAAAGAAGAATCAGGAAAGCTAGCTGAGTATACAAAGCAGAAAAAGAATAAAGTAATTTGGACATCTTCCAAGAAGGCAGAAGCCTCCTCTCATAGCTTTTACTTACTCAGCAAGTACCCCATTAATTCAAATACTCCCACTCTTTTCCTTTTTTCTTTGTTGGTATACTTCTATGTTCAGTTTCTAACTTACGTATACGCATCTAACATTCTTTTATATAGTAAAGTTACGCTATTTTGGCTGCAGAGGGGGAAAAAAAAGAAAGAAAGAAGATAAAGTTGGTAATAGGAAGATGGCATCGACGCTGTTACTGGTAGTGGTTTTTGTGTTTGATCTGATTGCTTTTGGACTTGCTGTTGCTGCTGAACAGAGAAGAGCCACTGTGAGTTCTTATTTACTAGCTTTAACTATCATATTATATATATATATATATATTGTATTGGGAGTCTTTGTATTTTGAGTTGGTAAATTGAACTCCATGCTCAAATTATTAGCTATTTTAGGGTTACAAAATCTCAGCTCTTAAAACTATCTGTACCCTATGAACAGTCGTTATGAAATAACACAAGCAAGCCTTTTCCAGGTTGAGGATAATTGGATACATAGTTTTTACTTTCTAGCTTGTTGAGTTGATGTCCAGGGAAGGACCCAGAAGTTGATTTAATAAACTTTAAAAAAAAGGGAAAGAAAGTTTAGCAGAGCTTTTGAATTTTGAACAAGCAGGGTGATGCCCCTCTAGAGACAATTGCTGGCCTAGTACATGCTTCTTGTTGTTGTTGTCCATTACAACCAGTGGCGGACCCAGGATTTTGTGCAAGCGGGTTCAATCTTAGAAGTACATAACTTTATTCGTAAAATAACAGTTGTTAAGTGGGTTCAAATAAAATATTTATACAAAATTTACGCAGCTTGAACCCGCTTGCCACCACGTGCGTCCGCCACTGATTACAACCCTTGCCAGTATAGACTAGTGTGTGTGTCTGTGTGTACATATGCATGGAAAAGAAAAGCGAAGCCAGGATTATACACTATGGGTTCTAAATTTTAGGATAATGATATTAGGTAATAGTAACTGTGTTCTGAATTTAATTTTTGTACATATTTAGTGAATTTCACAATACAAATACAATGTTTGCACTAAAGCTACTGGGTATGGCCGAACCAGTAACTTTCCTTTTGGCTCCGCTCCTGTTACAAGATGTGGGACAGAGGAACAATGTTGATGAGAGTATGAAAAAGGCTGTTATAAAAGTAATTCACCTCGTTTGAGGTTGTTTTGTTATTTGCGGATGTGCATGGCTAGATTGATCCGATATATAGATGAGCTGAATTGATTCTTATATTTCTATCTCTAATGATTTATACTTGTGTTAGATAAGCTCCAAAAATTTAAAGCACTCAGAGAAAAGGAGAACAAAATAACGTTAGATAATCTACCAAATTATAGTCTTATTTCTATCAGAAAAATTATAATTAAGAACTTTTACCATGTTTATCAATCAATGGATCAAATACAATGCAATCCAATCTTCTTGGATTTGGCATATATATGTCCTCTATGTATTCTGCTATGCTTGGTCTCATTCTGTTTGCTCGTAAGTAATGTCTTCAAGGCAAATTGAGGTGTTCTACAGCTGAAGGTTTTCTAATTTACACTTACCCATATACTCTTATCCCTACCTGGATCTAGTGTAAACGTAAAAACAAGAACTAAGGTTTAGTCTAACCAGTATTGTTTATATGGATCCTTGCTTTCATTATGTTTTATTCCTCGCTAAGTCTGCGTTGATTGCTAGAAACTGTAGGTTTTATAGACAACTTCCCATGCATGTGATCTTAGATCTATCTATTTCCTTTTTAGTACCATAAATTTAGTGTCACACCTATAGATTGATGCATTTGGAGGTCTATATAGGATATGACTAAATCATATAACCTTCTCTTCTACTCTGTGTACTTGCAACCACCATCCAATGTGATCATTTCTGATTTTGTCCAATCTTGTATGACCACACATTTATAACATTGCTGATCTCGTAACTGTTCTGGATACCTAGCCTTTCACTTGGTTAGGTTTCTCTTTATTCCAGAACACTCTCTTTATTTTAATCCTTTGTGCTACATATTCATGTATTGTGCCGACCTGCTTGAAGATTGAGCCGACATATCTACATTGTCTGTATTAGGTGCCACGTTCCGTTCCAATATCACTTCACCGGCATACTTTTTATGGGAGTTAAACTTGCAGTACATATATTGTATCTTACTTCTTCTATCCTAAAACTCTTTACTCTTTGTAGTACTTCTTAACAAAAGGTACTCTAGCTCTGAGATAGTGCATGTTTAAATATTCATCATAGATCGGTTTTACATAAAACTTTGGGTATATTGGTGCATTCTCAGTACATTTTGAGAACCCAGGGTCGGTCCATTGTTCCATAATTGGAACAATTGTGTTAAATTAATATTTCAATTTTTGACCAAATTGAAATTTCCTTGGATGAGTCAGACCAATACGAGGATTAAGAAATTAGAGATAACACCATGTTCGATTTCTAGTGCTCGTTGTACCAGTAATTCTTGCTCACTTTAGAATATACTAGGATAATAGTCTTCAGATGTATGTTCATTGAACATCGTTTTTTTTAATTGCATCATAGTTAATATTATGTACCTTAACACAAAAATGAGTCCTTGCATTTTTCAACAGTAAGTGCCAATGAAAATGTGAAAAGCCGAAAACGTTATGGAGGAAATTAAGTTTAGAACAAATATTTTCCCGGCAACTAGCTCATTTTTTATTGTTATGTATATGGTGAGGTTTACTTATTGGAATAAGAACTGCATATGCTGAAGCTTGTCATGATATCATGTCAATATTGTAACCCGGATGAAGGTGTTGGTGACTTAGATGCCTTTGATTATGTCAATAAATTATAGAAGCATTATGAGCAGTCACATTTTTATCTGGTGGACAGTTTGTAAAGAGAGGAACTTGAGATGCTTTGAAGATAAGCACAGTCACATCCAGAGGATAAATTCAACAGCATTTTCTTGTTTTACTTTTGGTGTAGAATGGAACTTGCAAATAAAGCTGAATCTATTTTAGAGCCCTTAGAATCCCTGTAGATTTAGATAGGGATATGCTTTTGTCTTCACACTTTTGGCACAATGTACATAATTCCAGCAAATTCTTAGTACTGTTTATGAATAAAAATTTACCATGTCAAAAGAAATATATATATATATATATNAACTTCTTGGATTAAGTTAATCGGTTGATCCTATCTCAGAAGGAGTGCTATATATATGCATAACTCAGCTAATCTAAGGAGGTTGTTTCGTTGACTCTTTGAGATGGTGGCCTAAGAGGAAACTTTAGGAGATCACAGAGCAGTGAGAAGAAGTGATTGATAGAAATCAAAATGTGTGCTAATCGCTTATGTTTAGTTTAATACGAAGACATTTCTGACACAACTCTTTTGTCTATAAGGTTATTTAATCTTTGTAGCATATATTGTTAGTAAATTTATAATAAAATTAACTTTTTGGGTTTTATTTTCAGGCAACTATCAGGAAAGATGCAGAGTATAATTACTGTGTGTATGAATCAGATATTGCAACTGGCTTGGGTGTAGGTTCATTATTATTCCTTTTGGCTAGTCAGCTACTCATAATGTTGGCAAGCCGATGTTTATGTTGTGGGAGGGCGCTGCGACCAGGAAAGTCAAGAGCATGGGCTATTCTTTTATTTATCACCTGCTGGTACGTTTCTCCTTAAACATGGTTCATGAGCTGCATTTTGGTCTTTTGCTAGCCGGAGTAGGGAAATAAATAATTTCGCTGATGTGTGTAAGAATCTTGTCAAATATGTGAGAATCAAATTTATCTCTCTGAACATATTTGTTTTTGGACCTTTCAGGGTCACCTTCTTTATTGCTGAAGTGTGCTTACTGGCGGGTTCCGTTAGGAATGCCTACCATACAAAGTATAGGACTTACTTGACACAACATCCTCCGTCCTGTGAGGTTTTGAGGAAGGGAGTCTTTGGTGCTGGCGCTGCTTTTATTGTTTTCACTGGCATTGTCTCTGAGCTTTTCTACGTCAGCTACTCCAAGGCAGATGAAGGATCCATTCCTCCTAGAATGGATGGTGGCATAAGGATGAACGCGTTCAAGTGAACCAATTGAGGAGAAGGAGACTTTGGTTTTACACTCACAAAACTTTGCACCTTGATGCTGGAATTATGACAATGTGATATTGGTTATGTGGTATAATTAGAGATTCTAATTATGTGTTGTGACTTATGTGCATCCTTAATCATAATCCAAAATTGTTGAGTAGGGATATAGATTTAGATAGGTATTGCTTGCTACTCGTTAGTTCTTATATACAATGTTGTTGAGCAGGGTTTTGCTTGGAGGAAAAGCTGCGATGTCCACCTTAGAAACTAGGATTGATTCTATTATTCCTGTTGCCATTTTCCATTCTGTGTTAGCATATTCATTATAATCTAGGTTTTCATGGACTTCTCTGATTCTATTGTTTCTGGTTCATATTTCTGTTGGAACGATTAGAATAGCATGGAATTTCTTTGACTTTACTTATCCTTTTCTGGTTGATTTCCATTACTTATTTTGTGGACTTTACTCATTGGCAGTTTTCTGTTTCTAGTTTATTTCCAAGTATAGGCAAGGGTTACCAACTTCAACATTTGTTAGTTGGACTAATATAGCGAATACCCAAGTCCATGGCTTCATGTTCATGTGCTTGACTTGATGTTGGAGGTCGTCATCTTCTTGAATGGTGTAGTTTTTTATTTCCTTAGGAGTAATTTCTATACACTTATTTCTTTGTTATCACTCCAGTGAGACAAAACAACTGTTACCTCAATCTGTCCCAATACCACGTTAGTCCCATGTGCTCTCATACAAGCCTTATGTCACGGAACCGTTTTTCTGAGGGTTCGGTGAGGGCATCAAAATTAGCTTGACTGCTACTTAGCTTCAGCCCTTAGACAATAAACAACACAATCGTGCTAAAGCGATGGCAATCACACAAAACAAGCAAGAAAGCTACGAAAGAAAGAGACTCAGATTTGGGAGGCCATCATAGATCATTAGTTGGTCCGTGGAAAAGGATGGGGCAATTCAAGAGCACATTTCCTTGTTTACTGGAAAGGAACTTTGCCACAGAAGGCATCATGGGAAAAGTACGAAGATTTGTGGCAGTTCAGGGAACAAGTCCACAATTATCTTCAGTTGTGCGGCGTTGGAGTTGTCGCCATTTCAAGTGGGGCAGAGTGCACCGCCCCGCCGTCACACCTATTAATTTTCCGCAATTCAAAGCTGGAAAGGCAGACTTAGAGGGATCCTGCTGTCAACCATGGCCCAGAAGGTCAAAGATGCCTTCCCACTTTCGGCTGCTTGTCCCTTGGTCTGTTGACTCTCTGCCAAATGTGCCTTCTGATGGTATCTCATGATTTCTGTGTGGCCCTAAGTGTTTTCCCACTGATGGCTGTCCGAGATTTGGGCTCGGGCAAGCCACGCCGTCGTTGGAATTGCGAAAAATTAATAGATGTGACGGCGGGGCGGTGCACTTTCCCCCACTTGAAATGGCGACGACCTCGGCGCCACACAACTGAAGATAATTGTGGACTTGTTCCCTGAACTGCCACAAATCTTCGTACTTCTCCCATGATGCTTCCTTTGGCGAAGTTCCTTTCCAGTGAACAAGGAACTGTGCGCTTGAATTGCCCTATCATTTTCCACGGACCAACTGATGATCTATGATGGCCTCCACTTGCTTGTCTGTTGCTGGTGGAGTGGTAAAAATTTGGCTTCGGCTGGACTGCGCCCGATCCTTGTCTTCCATGTCTTCGAAATATGGTTTCAGTTGGCTAGCATTGAAGACAGGATAGATTTTCAGATGATGCGGCATGTCCAGTTGGTAAGAGATTATTCCCACTTTGGCAACAATTTCGAATGGGCCCTCATATCGGCGAATCAGACTATGATGTACGCCTCGCAGTGATTTGAACTGCCGTGGATTCAATTTCACCATGACCTTGTCTCCAATCCTATAGATGACTGGACGACGTTTCCGGTCTGCACATTTCTTCCTTTTGCGGGCAGCCTTGTCAAGATATGACCTCGCTAAATCAGCTTGTTCCTCCCAAAATTTGGCCATGTGATACGCGCCCGGATTGTTCAATCCGACGTTGGTGGGCAATGATTGAGGAGTGTTGGGCTGTTGCCCAGTTGCAAGCTCAAAGGGACTCTTCCCGGTCGCCTCGTTGCGTTGCAAATTGTAAGAGAATTGGGCTATATCCAGTAGCTTAGCCCAGTCTCTTTGATTGGCGCTGACATAATGCCTCAGATAGCATTCGAGTAAGGCATTAATCCTTTCCGTTTGTCCATCTGTTTGCGGATGGAAACTTATTGAGAAGTGCAGTTGAGTTCCCAACAAACTGAATAATTCTTTCGAGAATGCGCCGGTGAATCGAGGGTCTCGATCGCTTATGATGTGCTTAGGCACACCCCAATATTTTACGATGTCCCTCAAGAATATACGTGCTGCCTCTTTAGCTTTGCAACCGGCAGTGGTGGCCGAAAAGGTTGCATACTTGGTGAATCTATCGACAACCACCATAATGGTGCCGAATCCTTCGGAATTAGGCAAACACGTAATGAAGTCCATGGTGATGTTATCTCATGGCTTCTCCGCAACTGGCAGCGGCTCAAGTAAATCCCCAGGAAGCTTAGATTCCACCTTGTCTCGTTGACAAACTAGACAAGTGCGCACGTATACCTCGATGTCGTTCCGCATCCGAGGCCAGTAGTAAAAAGACTCAATCAGGGCCAATGTGCGTTTTTGCCCTGGATGACCTGCCCAGGCAGAGTCATGACTTTCTTTCAGTAGAGTACGCCTGAGATTTTCCCATTTGGGCACGTATACTCTTTTGCCAGTGGTGTACAAGAGACCATATTCTTCCCAAAATCTCTGAGTCTTGCCTTGACTGGCCAAGACAAGAAGTTGTTTCGCCACGGGGTCATGTTGCATGCCCTCTTTGATGGTCGTGATGATACCACTGCTTGCTGAGCTAACAATGGTTGCTAGTACTGTCTTTCGACTCAAAGCATCGGCAACTACGTTAGCTTTCCCCGGTTTGTATTCCAGGGTGTAGTCGAATTCGGCCAAGAAATCTTGCCAACGGGCCTGCTGGGTAGATAGCTTCTTCTGTGTTTGGAAGTAGCTTATTGCAACATTGTCAGTCTTGACAAAAAAATAAGCCCCCAACAAGTAATGACGCCAAGTCCTTAGGCAGTGGACTACTGCTGTCATTTCTTTCTCTTGGACCGTGTAACGACTCTCGGCGTCGTTCAGCTTTCGACTCTCAAAGGCTATAGGATGGCCCTCTTGCATCAGTACGCCTCCTATAGCAAAGTCAGACGCATCAGTCTGGACTTCAAAAACTTTCGAGAAATCAGGCAGGGCCAATACGGGTTCCTTGGTGATTGCTGCCTTGAGTTTCTCAAATGCCTCCTGGCAGAAGTTGCTCCATTCCCACTCTCTGTCTTTCTTCAGCAAGTTAGTGAGGGGGGATGCAATAGCCGAGTAACCGAAGACGAATCTCCGATAATAGTTAGCTAAGCCGAGAAAGGACCGAAGTTCCGGTACCTTTGTTGGAGCTTCCCAGTCCTGGATAGCTTCCACCTTGTCCCTATCCATCCGGATTTCCCCATGGCTGATTGTATGCCCGAGGAACTGTACTATGGGCTGTGCGAAGCTGCATTTTTCACATTTTACGCACAGATTATTTTCCATTAGTACCTTGAATACCGTGCGAAGGTGTTCCACATGGTCTTCCATATTGTTGTTGTAAACCACAATATCATCTAAATAGATGACAACGAACTGATCCAAGAAAGGATGAAATAATTTGTTCATCAAAGTGTAGAAGGTTGCAGGAGCGTTAGTCAAACCGAATGGCTATACTAACCATTCAAAAGCCCCATAACGTGTAACACAAGTTGTTTTTGGCTCATCCCCATCGGCAATCCGCACTTGATAGTAACCTTTCCTCAAGTCCATCTTGGTGAATACCTTGGCCTGCCCCAAGCGGTCAAATAGATCAGCAATGAGAGGGATAAGGTACTTATTCTTCACAGTGACCTTGTTAAGGGCCCGATAATCAATACATAAGCGCATGGTACCCTTCTTCTTCTTCTGAAATAAGACAGGAGCTCCGTAAGATGCCTTGGATGGTCGTATGTGGCCAGCCTCTAGCAACTCGAGTTGCTTCCTCAATTCCTCTAATTCCGGGGACGCCATGCGATAAGGCAACATGGCAGGTGGCTTTGCCCCTGGAACAAGCTCGATCTGATGATCAACTTCCCTTCGTGGTGGCAATTGTTTGGGAAGTTCTTCCGGCATCACGTCCTTATTATTTTCAAGGACTGTTTCAATGCAGGGATGCAATGCTACTGCCTCAAGGGAATTCTCAACGATTCCCGTCAAGGTGGCAAGAAATGTTACTTCCCCTTTCTTGAAACCTTTCACAAGTTGCATCGCTGACAGATGCATCCCATTTTGTGGTACCCGAATAAGGGGCACAATACACGAGCCTCCGAGATCGCTTATGTGAAGCTGGTTGATACGTGGGGCAATAAGTGCGTTGATCTCGTACCAAAAGTCCAATCCCAGTATGATGTCAAAGACGTCCATGGGAGCAACGGTGAAGTTCGTCAATCCCTGCCAGCCTTCTAAAGCAATGTGTACGTTAGGAGCAAAGCCATAAATAGTAGTCGGAAGGGCATTGGCGGTCTTCATCAGTGTGTCGCTAGATATAAAGACAAGTCCAAGCTCCCTAGCTCGTTCCTCTGTCACAAAATTATGTGTCTCACCTGTGCCAACCATAATGCGCACGTCTTTGCCGTTTATCTTGGCATCGACAAATAATGATTCTCGGGGCCTCACACGAGGCGGTTGGGCAGCAACAGCCGCAAGGGTCATGTGGTTTATCAAGGCTATATGATTTAACAAACCTACTGCCTTGTTCTTCCCTTGTCCTGCACCATCAGCTGGTGCTCTACGTTCCTCGGGTTGCTTGTGAGTAGGCGCAGCAGTTTGTCCTTGCTGCTGGTGGGCTGCAACAATTGCTCCTAGTTTGTTCAGTGTAGGGCAAAATCGAACAGCATGAGAAGGATCTCCGCAAAGATAACAAACATCACGTTGAGCAGCCTTTTGTGCGCCTCCTTTCTTCTTCTCATCATAATTCTTGCGGTAATTAGATGAGTGGTTGTGGTTGCCTCTATTATCATTGTTCCAGTTGGGAACAAATTTGCCTTTGCCTCGGTGGGTGTCCGTCTTTGGAGCAGCAACAACTTGGCTCCGGTTGTTATTTCCCTTAGACGCTCCGGTTCGGAAATCTGATAATGATTCAGCTATTATAATAGCCTCATCGACGTTGTCGATCTGTCGCCTTTGCAATTCTTGTTTGGCCCAATACTATAAGCCATCCAAGAAATGGAACAATAGATCCTCACTGGTCAAGTTGGGGATCTGAATGGTGAGTTTTGTGAAATCCCTCACGTACTCACGGATGAAGGATGTTTGCCTAAGCTCCCTCAACTGTCGGCGAGCCTCATGCACAACATTTTGAGGGTAAAACTGCCGTTTTAGCTCCTCTTAGAACTGCTTCCATGTGTCAATGGAGCACGTTCCTTTCTCCATATCTGCCTTATTCCTGCGCCACCAAAGTATGGCGGTCTCTTCTAGGTACATGGCTGCCGTTCGAATTTTGGCAGCATCGCTGGTTATGCTTACATGTTCGAAATAAGCATCCAGCTACCACAAGAAGTTTTCCACGTCTTGAGCGCTTTTTTCACCCCGAAACTCTTTGGGTTTAGGAGCCTCAATACTTGTTTCTCGGACAGTGATGGGACTTCGCCCACTGGTTCCTGCTGTCATACCTATTAATTTTCCACAATTCCAGCGACGACGTGGCTTGCCCGAGCCCAAATCTCAGACAACCATCTGTGGAAAAACACTTAGGGCCATACATAAATCATGAGATGCCATCAGAAGGCACCTTTGGCAGAAAGACAGCAGACCAAAGGACAAGTAGCCGAAAGTGGGAAGGCATCTTTGACCTTCTGGGCCATGGTTGACAGCAGGATCCCTCTAAGTCTGCCTTTCCAGCTTTCCATGCTGGAATACACCAGGCAGCTTTCCATGCTGGAATGCACCAGGCTGCTGGACAGCCTTACCATCCCTGCCAACCACCCCTTTGTATAGCCATTTTAATTTCTATAAATAGGCTTTATACTCATTCTTTGTAAGCATCAGATATTGCATAATACAACCAAAAATTGGCACTTGCCTCCCAAATCTGAGTCTCTTTCTTTCATAACTTTCTTGCTTGTTTTGTGTGATTGCCATCGCTTTAGCACAATTGTGTTATTTATTGTCAAAGGGCTGAAGCTAAGTAGCGGTCAAGCTAACTTCGTTGCCCTCACCGAACCCTCAGAAAAACGGTTCTGTGACACTTAGGTCCACAAGAGCAAAGAAGAGAGAACGAAAGAAATAAACAACATACCCAGTGTAATTTCACAAGTGGGGTATGCGAAGGGTAGAAAGTATGCATACTTACTTTACCTTATGCAGGTAAAGAAACTGTTTCCGATAGATCCTCGACTCAAAGCAAACAACAATATAGAGAAAAGATATGCAGTAGTGAAAAAGTCTAAGAAGCAGTAATAACAACAAGATACAGAGAAAACAAATATAAAGGGGCCAAATTTTCTCCAAATTTTGAATATTGTAATTGGCTTTCATTTTACTTGGTGTTTAAGGTCGTTTAAGCGAGTAAAAGAAAAATAAAACGGGGCCCATTTTTTTTTAAAAAAAGTCAAGTCTTGGTCTTCTTGGTCTTTCTTAGCCAATAAATATATTTCTCTTTGATTTTGGTTGTACATAGGAAAAAGATAAAGTTGGCATTAGGAAGATGGCTTCAACACTGTTACTGGTTGTGGTTTTTGTGATTGATGTAATAGCTTTTGCACTTGCTGTTGCTGCTGAGAAGAAAAGGGGCACTCTGACAGTGAGTTATTTTTCACTATTATATTATATGATGCATTGAGGTATTTTATTTTGGGTTGGTATGTTGAAAAATTGAATGCCATGCTCAAATTATTGGCTATTTTAGGGGGTAAATCCTCAACCATTACTACACTATAAATAGTACATTTATGAAATAACAATGAATAGTGGTTATGAAATAACACAAGCAAGCCTATCCCAGGTTGAAGATAATTGGATTAATTTTACATGGCTTTTAGCTTGTTGTGGTGGTGTCTGGGAAATGATTTAATTTAATAAATTTTTTAATAATAAACGGAAAGAAAGTTTAGCTGAGAGGTTGAAAGGGTTCTTTTGGATTTTGATTAAGCAGGGTCATGCCCCGTAAAGGCAATTTTGATTTTTTATATCAAAGGTATACCAGCCAAGCTTGCGCACTTCACCTATTCGGTGGCCTACAATGAAATCTAAAACAGAGGCCTTGAATCATTTATAAATTTATGATTTTCTTGAGTATCTAAATTTGATTTTTCACTAATATTTTCTTTTGGACTATATTGACTCAAGTATATTAGTAACTTGCTCGTATTTTCTGGGCATTTTCATGTATACCTACTTTTAGGGCCGCCATTGAAATTGTACCCACATTGTACAAAATTTGGTAAAGTATACCCGCTCGGATCTGAAATAGTTCAATCTCTTTAATGCAATTTCACAAATAAATTCTGAAGTTCTTCTATCTTTTCAAATGCAACTTCAGAAATCAATTATGAAGTTCTTTTATCTTTCAAATGCAACTTCAGATTTTAAACCTTAAATTCTTAAACATAAATTTATTTTTTCAAATTTTAACAATTCAATACACAATTCAATGCCCAAATCTACTCTTAATGAGCTCAAATTTGATACATAACCATCAAATATCATAAAGAATATATCTCAATCATCAAATGGTCAAAATAATAATACATTAACAAACTCATTTTACAACTAAAAATAAGAAGAAGACGAAATTCTAAGCAACGAAATTCTAAGCACAAAGAAGAAGAAAACAACAATAAAGAAGAAGAGAAAAGTGTATGTATCTGAAGTTATCAAAAATTGGGTATCAGTTAAACTTTTTTTAAAACTATATACAAATTCAATGGGTGGCGCAAAACTGGGCACCATATGAAAATTTTACGTATTTTCTAACTTGTGGTTTATTAAAAATTTATCTACGATTTTTTAGCAACTCGGTTCATATTTTTTAATTGACATATTAAATCCTAATATATAAAAAGGCTATAAATATCTACCAAGTAAAAATATCACAAATGTTATAAAATATAACTCAAAGTAACAATATGTAACAAGGAAAATAAGCTAAGAGATATATGGAGAAAAAAAGAAGAGATTCTTATTTCTTCTTCAATTGTGTGTATTTTCCTATCTATTACAAGGCATTTATATAGGCATGAAAAGTGAAGAAAATATGTCATTAAACATAGAAAATATATCATTGAATATGTCATTAAGTATTTGAGAAGAAGATCATGGAGGAAGAGAAAATATCCACCATAATTTGATATTTCTTATAACACTCCCCCTTGGATGTCCATAGATAATGTGTCTTGTTAAAACCTTATTAGAAAAAAAAATCCTAGTGAAGAAAAAAGAGTACACATGTTTAGGAATACACTTCTTGGTTGCCTCATTAAAAACCTTGCAAGGAAAACCCAGTGGGACAAAACCTTATAAGGGAAAAAGAGTACACCGCGTATTAACTTCCCCCTGATGAGAGCATCAATTCACATCCTTGAGCCTTCGCATCCCAATCTTGTACACTAGTTTCTTGAAGGTTGACGTTGATAAAGATTTGGTGAACAAATCAGCCATATTATCACTTGAACGGATCTGTTGCACACTGATATCACCATTCTTTTGAAGATTATGTGTGAAAAAATAACTTTGGTGAAATGTGTTTTGTTCCATCTCCTTTTATGAATCCTCCCTTCAATTGAGCGATGCATGCTGCATTGTCTTCATATAAAATTGTGGGTAGTTTGTCACACATCAAACCACATTTGTCTCGAATTAGGTGTATTACAGACCTCAACCATACACATTCTCGACTTGCTTCATGAATAGCAATTATCTCAGCATGATTAGATGAAATAGTCACGATTGATTGCTTAGTCGATCGCCAAGATATTGCAGTGCCTCCACATATAAACACATAACCTATTTGAGATCAAGCCTTGTGTGGGTCAGATAAATACCCAGCATCGGCATAACTAACAAGATCGGGACTGCAATTATTGCCATAAAATAAGCCCATATCGGTAGTCCCTTTTAGATACCGCAATATGTGTTTGATTCCATTCCAATGTCTCCTTGTAGGATCAGACCTATATCTTGATAAGACATTAACTGAAAAAGTTATGTCAGGCCTTGTAGTGTTAGCAAGATACATTAGTGCACCAATTGCACTAAGATATGGTACTTCCGGACCAAGAAGCTCTTCATTCTTTTCTTGAGGTCGGAATGGGTCCTTATTCACATCAAGTGATCGAACAACCATCGGAGTACTCAATGGATGTGCTCCATCCATGTAAAACCGTTTCAATATTTTTTCTATGTAGGCAGATTGATGAACAAAAATCCTATTTGCCAAATGTTCAATTTGCAAATCGAGACATAATTTTATCTTTCCGAGATCTTTCATCTCGAATTCCTTCTTTAAATAATCAATTGCCTTTTGGAGTTCTGTAGGAGTTCCAATAAGGTTTATATCATCAACATATACGGCAAGTACAACAAACTCTGATGTTGTTTTCTTTATAAAAACACATGGACAAATGACATCATTTATATAACCTTCCTTTAATAAATATTCACTAAGGCGGTTATACCACATTCTTCCTGATTGCTTTAAAGCATACAAAGATCTTTGCAATTTGATTGAAAATATTTCTCTGGACTTTGAATTATGTGCGTCAGGCATTTTAAATCCATCGAAAATTTTCATGTATATTTCATTATCAAGTGAGCTGTAAAGGTAGGCTGTAACCACATCCATTAAATGTATGCCAAGCTTTTCATGGACAACAAGACTAATGAGATACCGGAACGTTATACCATCTATAACAGGATAATACGTCTCTTCATAATCGATACCAGACCTTTGTGAAAATCCTTGTGTAACAAGGCGTGCCTTATTTCTTTGTACCTCATTTTTCTCATTCATTTTACGTACAAAGACCCATTTATAGCCAACAGGTTTAACACCATTAGGTGTTTGGACTACAGACACAAAAATTTCACGTTTCGCAAGTGAATCCAACTCAGATTGGATTGCTTCTTGCTATTTTGGCCAATCACATCTTTGTCGACATTCTCCAATGGATTGAGGTTCAAGATCCTCATTATCTTGCATAATGCTAGATGCAACATTATATGCAAATACATAATTCACAACTATATTCAATCGATTCAAATCTGTCTCAATATCGATTGGGTTTATTGATAATTCCTTATTTTCTTGAGTCTCAGACTCATTGATTTCCTCATGAATTTCAGGATTGGTTAAATCATGGGTTTCTTTATGAGATTCATTCGTAGTGTCATCTTGATCATTTATTTTTATTTTTCTAGGATTTCGATCCTTAGAACCCAACGGCCTGCTACGCTTTAGGCGTGCTTTTGACTAATTAGCTATGATACTAGAAGATTGTCCAACATGGATATCAATACGGATTGGAACATTCTCTGCAGGGATATGTGATTTCGTTATCCTTTTCAGATCCGTAAATGCATCTAGAATTTGATTTGCTATTTTCTGTAAATGTATAATCTTTTGCACCTCTTTTTCACAAATAGAGGCACGTGGATCAAGATGAGACAATGATGTATTTTTTCACAAAATTAATAGAGGAACGTGGATCAAGATGAGACAATGATGTATTTTTTCACAAAATTAATAGAGGAACGTGGATCAAGATGAGACAATGATGTATTTTCCACAAAATTTCACGTTTGGTTTCACCAATTTCTCCCCCTAATTTTTGAAAAAATGCCTCATCGAATCGACAATCTATAAATCGAGCAGTGAACAAATCTCCCGTTAATGTTTCAAGGTAGCGAATAATGGAGGGCAATTCAAACCCAAAATATATTCCTAACCTTCTTTGGGGACCCATCTTGGTGCAATATGGCGGTGCTACATGCACATATACAACGCATCCAAAAATTCTTAGATGGGATATATTAGGTTCATGACCCAAAACTAATTGCAACGGAAAATATTTATGATAATTTATCGGTTTTAGACGAATTAGTATTGTTGTATGCAAAATGGCATGAACACAAACTGAAGTAGGTAATTTGGTTTTCATGAGTAATGATCTTGCTATCAATTGCAGACGTTTAATCAAAGACTCTGCAAGGCCATTTTGAGTGTGAACATGAGCTACAAAATATTTCACTTTTATCCAAATTGATAAGCAATAATCATTAAATGCTTGTGATGAAAACTCAGTGGTATTATCAAGTCTAATACACTTCATTGGATTATCGAGAAATTGTGCCCGTAATCGGATTATTTATGCCATTAATTTTGCAAATGCCAGGTTGCGAGATGACAATAGACATACATGAGACCATCTAGAAGATGCATCTATTAAGATCATAAAATATCTAAACGACTCACTAGGTAGGCGAATAGTTCCACAAATATTCCCTTATATACGTTCCAAAAATGCAGGGGACTCAATCCTAACCTTTGTTGGTAATGGTCTAATAATCAACTTACCTTGATAACAAGAAGTACAAGAAAATTTATTATTTAAAAGAATCTTTAAATTCTTTAATGGATGCCCATTTGAGTTCTCTATAATTCGTTTCATCATAATTAATCCTGGATATCCCAATCGATCATGCCAAAATACAAAAGTATTGGAATTAGTAACCTTTTGGTTTACGATAGAATGTGCCTCAATTGCACTAATTCTTGTCCAATACAGGCCACAAGATAAAAATGGGAACTTCTCAATAACCCTTTTCTGGCCAGAGACATTCTTGGTAACGATGAGATATTCGAGATTATTCTCATCTATTGTCTCAATGTGAAATCTATTTCGGCGGATATCTTTAAAACTCAACAAGTTCCTCTTGGACTTGGAGGAGAACATTGCATTCTCTATGATAAGTATTGTTCCCTTAGGCAGAGTTATAGTAACTCTTCCAGAGCCTTCAATTAATTTTGTACTACCATATATTGATCAACATCTATATGGTGAATATCTCTTTTAAAGAGAAAGTTATACCATTATGGTCATGGTCAAAATTACATGCAAGATCTATTTCTTGCATTATTGTTGTCCTTTAATAATCACATTACCAAAATATTTTGGCGTACAATGGGTACGTGACCAATGACCATTCATGCCATAATAATGATATTATTTTCTTATTTCATCTTAAACCCTCTTCTCGAGGTGAGTGTGGTATATTTACTACCACTAGCACGTTCATATTCTTGCAAGAATGAATATGTATTCATAATGATTGTCACACTGTTTTCACATTCACTTCAGGAATGGAACATAATAATCCATGCGTGTTTTATAAAATCTTATGTCATATAAATGGCAAACATCACTTTCACAAAGTGAAGCATTATTTTAAAAGCAATTATTGTTCTCATTACCATAATGATGATGATTATAATTTCGTCCATTACCACGTCCACATCCATTCATACATCCACGGTAACATCATGTCTTATTTTAGACTTATAGGATGGGTTTCCACTATTGGTGGCGATTGAATTTAATTTGCATATGCGAACTTTCATTAACTGGACTCAATCAAATAAAAAGTATCAAGCAAATATAGAAAAACACATAATCAATTAAAATATACATGTTCTTTGTGATAATTATCCCACTTTAAGATGGAAGAGATATGTGACAAAATAGAAAGGAAAAATATGTGCTCTCTCAAAAGTGTTCACTTCGTGTTTCTTAATATTAACACATAGGAACATAATACTTGTTATAGAAAAAATATTTATCGTTCTTTACACCAAAAATCCTTACATGATTTGATGAACTTTCAAGAAAAACTTTTCCGTAAAGCAAGTTTGTTCATGTATGGAAATATAAATAGCAAAGCGTAAAAAAACTTGAAAACTAATTAGAAAAAGCTAACCGTGATGGCCGAATATATGCTGGCGTTGTACACCTTATACCGTCATCGTTCTTACCATATTATTAACATTAAATGACGCTACCGGCACTAGCCACATCATAACAACTCAGTTGGCTAGAATTTCGTGCTAATAACGTGTTATAAAATATAACTCAAAGTAACAATATGGAACAAGGAAAACAAGCTAAGAGATATATGGAGATAAAAAGAAGAGATTCTTATTTCTTCTTCAATTGTGTGTATTTTTCTATCTATTACAAGGCCTTTATATAGGCATGAAAAGTGAAAAAAATATGTCGTTGAATATGTCATTAAACATTTGAGATGAAGATCATGAAGGAAGAGTAGACATCCAACGTAATTTGATATTTCTTGTAACAACAAAAGATTTGAATAAAAAATAATAAAAGCTAGAACAATAGAAGCTGTTCTAGATGTTGATGATTCACTGTTTCAATTTGTTCTTTGCACTTTCGAGAATGAACAAAAAAGAATATGCAATACGTTGTTTGATACATATCATGCTTTGAGTTTTGACAGAAAAAGATTTGTAAAGTATACTTTGTCAAAGAAAAAGCAGAGAAGCAGATGGTGTTGCTTTCGTTACCTAATTTACCTCATAATTTAAGTCATTTATATACCCAGAAATTGTCTAGTACTTTCTATTTTAATTTAATATTTTTAAGGGCAAATACCTAGATAGCCCCCTTAAAGTTGGCACAAATAGTAAGTTAGATATTTAAACTTGGCTAGTGACCATATAAATACTTTTACTTGGCAAAAGTATACTCTTTTAGACACCCGTGTCTTACCTGGCAAACTGCTTATTTCACACTCAATATTAATGGCGAGTGGGCCGGTCCAGGCCCGGGACCGGGGGTCAAACGGGTTAAGACCGTATGGGCCGGTTTTAGTAGGTCTGGACCGGTCTTGTGAGTCGGTCCTATGCTTTGGGCCCGCCAGGTCCGGGACCATTTGGCCCGCCAGAGATCGGGATCGGCCCGGGACCGGACTGGTCCCTTAGTGGGCCAAACGGTCCCAACGGCTATATTTTAATTTTAAAAAAATAAAATAAATGGTTAGGTTTATGTTTATCTTATCGCACAACACACTTGTAGCGCTCTGACAATTGGCCAACATATTTTAATTCATGATTTTGCTCCATTATATTTTCAGGGTCAATTGGTTTTTGGCATTTTACACACTTATTTTTAGTTTTATGACCTTACCTCTTTTTTTTCAACATGGGAGATTTACTTTTACACATAAAAGATCTTTCATTTACGCATAAAAGATCTAAAAAAAAAATATTTTCTTAAATTCAATATTGTAAAAGGCTTAGAACGCCTAAAACCTCATATTTTCATTCATCCGGCTTTCATACTTATTGAGCATACATATCTACATTGTTATTAGGTACCACAATCCCGTCCAACATCGTCACTTCACCTTCGTACTTTTTATGGCAGTTAAATATACCGTGCTTATATTGTTCCTTACTTCTTATCTTACAACCTTTACTCTTTATAATATTTCTTCTTAACAAAAAATAATCTAGCTCTAAAATAGTGCAAGATTGTTAAGATATTCATAAAAGATCGTTTATTCCGTTTACATAAAACGTTGTGAATATTGGTATATTCTCATTACATTTTAATTTTTGAACCCAGGGTCGGTCCATTGTTCCAAAAGAGGAAAAAGTGCATGGGTCAAATTAGTAGTTGCAATTCTTGACCAAATTGAAATTCTTGTGCATGAGTCATATCCATACGAGGACTAAAAATTTGAGATGAGAGCTTATTCCATTTCTAGTGCTCATTTGTACAAGTAATTCTTGCTCACTTTAGAATATATTAGGATAATAGTCTTTAGATATATGTTATTTGAGCTTCTTTGGTTGGACTCCTTGTTAATATAATGTACTTTAATTTATAAACAAGGAGGAGGAGTCCTTAGCTTGCATTTTCAACAACAAGTGCCAATGAAAATGTGAAAAGCCGAAAAAGTAATTATGTTGGAAAATAAGTTCAGAACAAATTAATATTATTCCGGCAGCTAGCTCAATTTTTATTGTTTTGTATATGTACAATTATTGGAAATAAAAAAGTGCATATGCTGAGGCTTTGGTGACTTAGATGCCTTTGGCTATATATATGCTAATTGCTCAGGTTTAGTTTTATATGAAGGCATTTCTGAAGTAGCTCTTTTGGCTATAAGATTAATGGTTTTATACTTGAGGAAAGTTTTTAAAGTATATATATTTTCAGTAAATATAAATTTTGGGTTCTTTTGTTCTTTCAGATAACTAAGGGCGGACGTGATGGGGCAACTAATTGTCTGTATTTATCAGATACTGGAACTGGCTTTCGTGTGGGTTCGTTCTTATTCCTTTCGGCTAGTCAGCTCCTTATAATGGTGGCTAGTCGATGTTTATGCTGTGGGAAGGCACTACAAAAAGGAAAATCAAGAAAATGGGCTATTATCTTATTTATAATCTGCTGGTACGTTTCTCCGCTGCATTTTGGTGTTTGCCAACTAGAATAGGGAAATAGAGTATAGATGACACACTTTTTTTACTAGTTCGTTCAAAAAAGAATAACATATTTTTATAATTATTTGAAATAATTTGACTTTAAACTCTTCATTTTATCCTCAATAAGAAACTTTTATAACCATACAAATGTCATAGTTTCCACAAAGCTTTTACCTCTTAAGTTTTTTTTCTTCTGTTTAAACTCCGTATCGAATCAAATGAAATCATCTAAATTGAAACGAAGAGTGTACGTCTTATCAAATATGTGTACGGAAAAGGAGTTGAAAGTTGAACCTACTTGATCTAAACGTAATGCACAGCTCACCGGTAAAGTGCGTTCAATTGTTTTAAGGGATCCTGGGTCCGAAACCAATCCACAAGTATAACTCTTTTCCTATATAAAGCTATATATATCTACGTTCATTAGGAAACGGAAACCTACACATATTTTTTTTTTTCCTTTAAATGAAACTATAATCTGAAAGGAGTATATCTAAGTTGCACGTGTCGCTTTTTTGTTTTTTAAGGTGCAAAATCTATTTCTTTATACATTACTTGTTCATATGTTTGAACCGGCGGCCGCTCGGTAAAAATTGTAGGTTCGCCGCTTAACACAAATATATACTATTTCTGAACACATTTGTTTGTGGAACCTTTGGATTTCAGGGTCACCTTCTTTGTTGCTGGACTGTTCTTACTGTCACACCTCCTTTTTTCCGAACGGGGTGGAGGATAGAGATGTTTTTTCAATTTAAGTGACATTGTTCGAATTGGAATTATTTATTTGATCAGAGTCGCCA